GGCCTCCCCACCCTCACAGCCAACAACTCTTTCCCAATCTCCCATCTATCCCTGCCCTCTGGCAGTGGGAAGCCATTCTCTGTCTCCTATCCCTCCAGTCCCATGTCCCAAACCCCTTTCTCTCCTCCCCAGCCATCCCCCATCCCCGGGGTGGGGCCGAGAGGGCTCAGCAGGGTTGGGGAACCCCTGGCAAGGACAGGAAGGTCTCTCCCCACAAGCTGTGGGTTGGGATTGATGGAGGGAGTCTCTCAGGGTGCTCTGGGACTTCTCTCCCAGATTTTTCCACCAAAGAAGGAAAACACCCCCCTATATTTGTGGCAGCAGCAGCAGCAGCCACCAGTTCCTCTCCGGAGCGAGGTCCCCACGTACCACTTGACCCTTAAACTTCCTGGAGTGTTGTGTCCTGGACTTTATTTCCAGCCTTTAATCCATCATTTTTTGTGCACCAAGACCTTTCTGAAGCAGGGGTTAAGTGTTCTTTGGAGCTCTCAGCCTCCCATTTCCCTGCCCGGGAGCCTCCAGCTGGCGACCGTTTAACTCGGAGGAACGGAACGTTTCCTCCTAAAATGAAAAAAAAAAAAAGGATCCCCCGGCTTCCATAAATCCACCATCCATAAACACTCTCCTGAGTGGTCTCCTGAAAGGGAAACAAACCATTTGGAGTGGCTGAGATAATGTATAATGCCCGTTTAATGGCTCCTGGGTTCCACGGGCCATTGAAATCCTGCAGGGCTGGTTAATGATTGTTCACCAGGAAGGAACAAACTGGGAATGGAAGGGGCTTAAAAATGCAGAGGTGGGGAACTGAAGCCCAGCTGGTTCAGGGTGAGGGGTGTTAACCCTTGGAAGGCAAGGTCTGCCCTGGGATGTCCTGCCCAAAGAGGTGCTTGGGTGGTCTTTACCCTTAGACCCGTCCTTGGAGACATCCTTTGTGCTTGCACCTGGACTTAGACCAACCTTTGTACTCAGACCCACCCTTAGAAACATCCTTTACCTTTAGACCTGTCCTTGAACTCATCCTTGGGCCCCTCATTAGACCCATCCTTCATCCTCTAACCCATCCTGCATCCTTTGACCCTTCCTTCTTCCTTTGGCCCATCCTTAGACCCATCCCTCATCTTTAGACCCATCCTTAGACCCCTCCTTCATCCTTGGACCTGTCTTTGGACCCCTCCTTCATCTTTAGGTCCATCCTTAGACCCACCCTTCGTCCTTGGACCCCTCA